CACACTGCCGCCACACTTCCTCACACCGCCCACGCACACACTGCCGCCACATCTCCCCACACCGACCATGCACACTGCCGCCACATTTCCTCACACCGACCATACACACTGCCGCCACATTTCCTCACACCGACCATGCACACACTGCCGCCACATTCCAAATGACTTTTTGACGTCTCCTTCAAAAGTGGGGCTAAGCATTGACTTGAAATAAAACCACATTGAAACAAATTCTTTTGAAAAGACACGCTTCTCCAATAATGTACCGAAAAGTTTAAAATAAATGTCCCCCTTAACTTGATAGTTGTTACCGACTAAAAATAAATGTCCCCCTTAACTTGATAGTTGTTACCGACTAAAAATAAATGCTTTGGGCGCCCATGAACTCAATGTTCTTTGCTTCAGTTCAGTTGGAGATCGGGAAGTGGGTCAAATTGAGATGCAAAATTTGACCACACATAAACTAAAAAAAAAAAACAGAGCAACTTAAAAAAAACGACCGTTACCCTTGTATTTCATGAGCCCCCAACGGTTCTCTTAGTCCTAGGACTGTACCAACTGTCAAGTTCTAGGAGACATGTATTGGATACCTTTGGGCTGCATCTTTGGGGAAAAGCGTGTTTTTTATTTTTTTATTTTTTGTATAGTCAAAGTGTACAAAGTTGGACACCAGGAAGTAGGTCAAAACTGAGATCCAAGATTTCACCACAAACTAAGGAACTTGACAGGGCAAACTAAGGCACTTGACATGGACGACATGGTAACCTAAGGAAAGGCGTATAATATAAACATACGGACTATCATATGTACAACAAGTTTTGATATATAGCGGTGGCCGTCGGAATATGTGTGTGACTTCAAGTGTTCATTTTATGACAAATCTAAGAAGTCAGTCTTAACTTGTTGTTCTGAATGTACATTTAAAGCATTACAAAATAGAACGCTAAACATGAAACATGTGGCGGCCTGTTGAGCCTGAATTCTTCTGAACGGGCAGCATTCCCCGCAATTAATATCAAGCCTCTTAATTCCCCTTGAATAGTTCACTAAATATATTTCTACTTCCATCACCCCCACCCCCCACCCCCCCCCCCC